GAAAATTGATATCAGGGGGGTCAATTTTCACCTAAGGTGTGATTCCCCATTTATATCGCAGGCTCAAAAAATCAAGAATTGCATTTTTTCCAGCTTTCCCTCAAAAACTAGGAATAAAAAGAAATTGGAACTGACTTATACTTAGATTGTTAATTTACCTTTTTATACTACTACATGAGAAATTTCTGCAATTTGATTGGCTTACAGCAGTGGTATTTCAGCTTAATTTGAAATACCTACATGTGAAAATTACAAACCTTTTGCAGGTAGTAGTATAAACAAATAATAGCATGATTTGTACGTGATATTTGGCATAAAAACCACTCGTGATATTTCAAAAATGTGTCAAATTTCACTCGCCTAACGGCTCGTGAAATTACGTATAACAATTTTGAAATATCACTCGTGGTTTTTATGCCAAATATCACTACAAATCACGCTATTACCTATACAAATTCCTGGCATTGTTTGTCAATTGTTCCTGGAGATATAAGAGTGAGATTTTTTTGCAATGCTATGGGACTTCAGGCAGTTGCCAAAAATTCCAAAATGCTCCCTTACTGCCAGGAATCTAAGACATTTTTCCTTAGCATAATTTATGTGAATAAACCTGGCAAGTTTCAGTGCAGTATCGTACATCCTTATATTTTTACATCAATTTGTTTTCAGTGCACTCTAACACAGCCGCAAAATTCCCCACTACACTGTTTTCTTTGTTGCCATATTGTATTTTTACGAGAAAACCTCTGTTCCTAACCCAATTGTAGCATGGAACGTGGCGAGAAAATGCGAAAATCTTTGTCTGAACTTGTTTCATAATATGCTCTCAATATGGCATTGTAAACAATGTTTTAGCCTTAATTAATTTGCACAATACATCATTTAACAGAGGCCTTATCTGTCATCAACCTTGTAAGGATCATATATCCAATATGTCTCCAGAAAGCTTTTTGGAGCCATAATGATTAAGAAAGATCAAAACAATTGTACTTTATTTGGGAAAGCAGAATGTAAGCAAATTTTGCAATAATTCAACCTAGTTTCCTTGAAACTCATAGTGCAATGTCATGTGTCTGGTTGTGAAAATTGTAACAGTTCTGTCAACAAAGGGAACCATCACGTCAGATTATTAATTTCCAAAAATAGCACTCATAGATACCAATTTTGGCCTTCATTTTCTCACCGGCTATTGAACGAAAATGCTTCATTTTTGGAATTTGCATTCATGTTAAGAGCACATTTCAAATAAGCAATTTTATAAGCATCGTCAATTTTTGACTTTAAAGCAGGTCTAATACCTAAAATGGAACATAACATTACATAGTTAAAAATTCCAACTGGTAGGAGGTGAACCAGTTGGCTATTTTACAAGCATGGCAATGCAATGATTTGAGGTCCGGACTACCAAGAACAAATCCAGCTAGTGGTCAGTGCAGGACTTCAACTCGGGGGCTTCCTGAATCATTACAAGGTCTGGACAGCACTCTAACCACAGGCCATGCTGCCTCCCTCAAATGTCCGTTCACATCAGAACCTCTCTGAAGATCCCCATGCAGCTGATATGATTTCTATTACAACACTGCGTTTATCAACTTTTCTCATTACACTTAAGCTTATCAGCAACCTAATCCAGATCTAGAAAATGATTATGCATCAGGATTTGCTTTAAAAACTTTAGCTTTACTATTTTAGCTCACTTTGTGAGATCAACCTCGTTTAATTGTCTTTTCTCTTATAAACAAAATCCCTTAAATCACATGCCACAAGAGTTAAATCTATGTCAATCGCGCGCGCTTATGAAACGAAAGCGAGAAAACAGCAGAACTCACCTACTCTGTACTTATAATCCGAGGGATAAATGACGCCCTTCTTCTCCCTTAAAACAAAAACTTCTTGATTTTTATGTTCCCTATCTTCGTGGTCAGCTAACAAGTCCATATCATGATCATCAAGTTCTGAATCTACGCTTACAGAATGAAGTGAAAATGGAGGTTTCATATCATCGACGTCCGCCATCTTTGATTACATCTATCTCATCCCCAGGTCTTCTCGGTCTTGAGAAGAGAGGCAAAGCAAAAATGCCTTTATGGTGGGTCGGTGTTATGCAGAGATGGGAAGCAACAGCTGCGCCCGAGGAGGGGAGGGGACTCTCTATAATGGCTTATAAAAATACGGGGAAGCTCCGCCCGAAAGGGGTACCTTTTCAGTCTTCATCAACATCATCATAACGATTATTCCTCGAGCCCTTATGGGCTCTGAGTCAATAGCCCATGAGCCCGAGCGAGTAGCCGATCTAGGGGGTAGCGCGGGCTTTTTGGCAGCAAAAAAGGATTAAAGTCTAGCTTTAAGTGCCAAAAGTTGTTTTCTCTCGATATTTTTGACCGCAACTAGTTGGATTTTACCTCTCGCCCCCTCACCCCGGCCTTTCCGTTAAGGAAACCATATATCTAAGTTATTAAGCAGGGAAGAATTGCATTTAAGGATAATAAATATTTGCAGCAGTACGTGTTTGTTCAGTAGCGCTAGCTTGTCACTATTGCGTGCTCCACAGATATGACGGCAATAACCCATGACGACAGCGTAGTGTTGCAAAGAGGACTTACAGCAATTCACAAGCTCGCGCAATTTGATTGAGCAGACACGATGATCGAAGGGCTGAAAATAGCACATAAACGTTGACCAAAAAAGCTTAGTTGGCGCGTGAGGGCCTGCGAAATTTGAGGCCACTGCGCAAAAAGAGAATTCTCGGAAACAAATGAATCTCGGACTACAGATGCAATTAGTGCCGGAGACGCAGTAAAGCAAGAAAGTTAACAGAATTCGAAACAACTCATAAAGAATTCCAAGAACTGATGACAGAACATGACCGTCTTATGAAAGCGGAAGAAAATTTGCCACTATACCCAAACCCGCGTTACCGAGGGTGCCGGCAAGCATAAAAGCGGAGAAACGTAGACAGGAGCGCATGCGAGAAATTGTATGAGAGAGCAAGTAGATATGACACAGACGAAATTATAGTTCGCCAGATTTGTTGCTGTAATAAATTAATACATTTAAAATTTTCATATTAAGCAGGGAAGAATTGCTTTTAAAGTTCATAAACTGTACTTGTAGCAGTGCATATTTGTTTAGTAGTGCTGGCTTATCACTATTGCGCGCTGCACAGATATCTCAAGGGGACAATATTTTTCTTGCTTTCTTCACAGACTTTCCCACGGCTTTATAGTGGGAAGCACGGACTGTTAAAGCGGGGTACTGGAAATGAACGAGAAGCGGTGCGAACGGGGGATGATGAGAACAAGCACAAAGCATAAAAGTATACCTGCCAACTCTCACGCCTTAGGCGTGAGTCTCACGCCTGCGGGTTGAAAACTTCGATCTCACGCCGGCTCACGCCTGCGGGCCAATTTCTCACGCCTGATTGAAAAATGTGAGTTGTTGCCGTCCTGCTCGACACAATTTCCAAAAATATGTTAACTCAGACCCATGTAAGGAACGAAAACCATGTGTAAAATGAATAAATGGCAATAGCTTCCTCGCGATCTCTGAATTTTGAAGAGAAAAGCACTGGGAGCGAGCTCGCCTTTGGCAGACTTCGGCAGACTTCGGACGTCTTCGGAAGACTTCGGACTTGTTCGGGAATCTTCGGAAATGATCGTGTCGTCTTAAAAAATCCCAGCACTCCCAGGATAAAAATCTCACGCTTATATCTCAGAAAAAGTTGGCAGGGTATAATAAAAGTCGTAACTTTCCTTGATAATTAAATCAAATATCCTCCATAAAAGTGATCGCAAAATAAGATATTTTATGTCACTGACCGCTGTCTGAGCATTCCAAGTTTATTCACTCCGATCCTCAGGAAATTCTCTTCCAAAGATTGTTAAAATACAGCAAAGTGACCCACGAAGTCGGATCACGCATGACACAAATTCGGTCCACCTTTAAATTTCATTTCAAATTTTTATTAGAAAAAATTATGGCAAGGTAGCCACTGCAAACTTTCCGGCCCTTTCAGCCTCCTGCCAATTTCCCTTTGAATGGAATAATGTCATTCGTGGCGGCTTGCTTTGCTGAATTTTTGCAATCTATGTAAAATAATTTTATTAAGATCAGATTAATTTTGAAGGCTTATAGAACAGTCAGTTACTTCTTTATTATTATTTGTGATTAGAAAAATAATGTCTTTTCCAGAGTGACTTGGTCATTTAACAAGGCAGTGCCAACACAACGAAACGGTTAAACTATGAAGTAATATCTCACGTCAAGATTTGCTGTGGAATGTCAATTTTTCATTTACAATGTAATATTACAGATCAAGGTATAATACAAAATTTACAATATATAGTTTGTCAATAGCTCACCAGGTCTGCACACAAGATAGAATAAACCATTATTTCATACGAAATCCATTAAACACCACAATCTTAAACGACCTACATTATAACAGTTTTGTTCCAGGAAGTTACATTTCTGGGGACATAACACAACCTAAAATGAACAAGTAGTCTAAAAAGGTACCATCGCAATAATAATAATAAATAATAACATTTATTTATACCGCGCAAATTCAACTATACAGTTTTCAAATGCACCTTACAATTATTATTAAAGATCTAAAAATATACCTTAAAAAAAAAAATTACAACATTAAATTACAACATTATATCAGAAAAGGGCTTTTTTAAAAAGGTGAGTCTTCAAATTACGTTTAAAAACTTAAAAATCGGAGGTGCGTCTAAGATCTAACGGAAGATTATTCCATAGTTTTGGTGCGGCAGCTACAAAGGCTCGGTCACCAAGAGTAGGGAGAGTCCTAAAGTTAGGACTTGAAAGCAGCAAATACTGCACATAACTGAATTAAGTTCGAGCAATTTTTTAAGTGAATACTACAACGTTAACATTGCAAAACAAGTTTACTTCAGGTAGTGCTACACTAGACAATGCCCTATGCAACCTGTCTCATTATACATGTAGTACAACAGAATTGCAAGACAAGTTGCAAAAAGCTACCTTCAACAATGTAGATGCCTTGCCCCATATTAACATGCTCCTGCTCGCTGCGCATTATATTTAACAATTATTTCTCATATTGACTCAGAGGCCATGAGGGCTGGGGGAATAATTGTTTTAGCAAAATCCAACTAGCTGGTCAAAAATATCAAGACAAAACAAATTTAGCTAGCAAAACGCGATTCATCCGCCATTGTTTTAGTTTTCAAAGCTGGCACTTTTCACTACTAGTGGGCTATATAACATATAGCCTAATGGTAGCTCAACCAATCAAAATGCAGCATTGACAATAGAACACTACTTGGATTTTACTCAATTATGTTACACGATATCTTCTACTTACTTCCTTTTCTGTATTCTTCTGATGATGTCATGCACTCCCTGTTTTCTGCAGGATAGTGAGATCTCTATGCAGCCAAGGGTATTTTGGTATTACCGCCTAATTTCAAACCATGAGGGGCAGGGTATGAGTCCTTATGGGATTATGAACATAAGTCTGTCATAGTCGGAAAGGGCATACCGAGCTTTGCAAAATCTTCATGTTTAAGGTTAATCAGGCTTACATTGAACAAGAAACAGCTATTCAAATACTTGAAAATTTACTTAGTAGAGATGTATGGATTTTCGGGACATTGCCCAAACTTCTACATATTTCTTACCAGTAAATTTTGGAGATTTTGAATGCCTGTAACTCGTTTAATATAGGCCCGATAACAAACCAAACTTAAAGAATTTGTAAACAGCAGTTTCCTCTTTCTGGCTACGTGGCTCTTGTCTTGCTTATCCCAAAATAAAAGTCTAAACCAACTCATACGTGGACCTCCTCAGTTTGTAATAGGCAATAACACAACCTTTTAATGATAGTTATTTCCCATTTAAATAAAGAAAAAAAAAAGAATTATAAGAACAGTCATCATGAGTTTCCTAGGCTACATTAATGTAACAATTTGTTAGCTGCTGTCACCAAACCAGATTCTTAAGGTCATCTTTGTAGACACTGGGAACCAAACCTAAAGAAGAATTTAAAAAAAAGGTTTAGTGCTTCACAGTCTTGACTAATTATTTTTGGTATGAACTAAATTAAAGTGGGTAACCCATCAATCTTAGAACAGAGTAATCCAAGAAAGAAGTAGAACACTTGACAATTCTTGGCTTCCAAAACTCTCAGTCCTCGATCACAATGAAACCTGTTCCTCCCTCCTTCCTTGGAACATATTATCATTATCATTATCATTATCATTATCATTATCATATTAACTCCCAAAAGTAAAAAAAACTTGAAAGCAGAGACCATAGATTGAATGGGTTGTTAGCAGTAATTATCAGAGAAGTATACACATAAGACTAGTGTATACACTATAGGTTGGTATATACCCACCAATTTTAGATTCCACCATATTGACTGTGTTCTTATGGAAGAGCTTCTTTTCAAACTCCACCAAGTCTTTCCAAAAACCAGAGTTCGGTCGAATAAGAGGCCTTCTTTGCTTGACATATGAGTGAGCATCAATAAGGTTCATCCTTTGATACTTCATAAGGTATGCCAACACTAAAGTTGCTGATCTAAAACAGAAAAGGAACAGAAAATTTTCAACAAAAATATAATATTTTAATTTACATGTATTTGCTAAGACTAGGGATCAAACACTCTCTATAAAGCTGCCAGTCCTATCTCAGTCAAAGCATGTAGTTCCAGTAACTTGAGATGGGAGCACAACATCTTTGCTGGGGTACAACCCAATAAACAACTGGTACAAAGGTTCCACTGAGATACTCCAACCTGTGATTGGTGGGGCTTTGGGTGGTCTGTCTCTGCTTTGCTGTACCATTGACTAACAGAATTTCTTGCCAATTTGGCAAGGCACTGCACTGTGCAGTACTATATATATATATATATATCATCTGTAGTGCAGCAACACTTTTCAAGGAATAAGCAACATAATTTGAGCTTATAGGGACTTCTTATTAATACTAGATGTGAGTTAAAGTGAACTTGTGTTGACTAAGTCAAACACTGAAGCCAAAGTACCATTTGCCTCACTTAGCCTACAATCTTAGTCTCCATGAGTTCAGATACCATCACTAAGCTGCATTAGTTCTGCCTAAAAATAATAACTATTTCTGTATAAGGAAATAACTACCAACCAAAAAAAATGCCTGGCAGCCATGGAGTCACTAGACAAGTATCTTTGGTTCGTTACAGCCACCCTTCACATGAAGGAATTTGAGGAAGAGTATTTTTCTTCCTTTCCTGTTTCTACTCTGGACAGAGGTGTCGTGTGCCAAGAATGTAAATGATACGTTTTTCATTCACATCAACCGAGAGCATCAAGTTTACTTGTGAGACAGAAAAAGGGTATCAATTATCCCCTTTCTTAATTCACACTCTCATTCCTTGGCTGAAATCAGGTTTTCTCAAGTCTACTGTGTCCAGGAAACCAACACACAGATCAATATTTGCATTTCAGTTTGCATCACCTTTTGCAACACAAGTACAGCCATTACAAAGCACTTTTCCATCAAGCAAAGTGTATTGTGTCTGATCCTAATGAGCTCAAGCAAGAACTGCAACACATCTCCACCATGCTGCAACACTGTGGTTATCCTTCCTGGTCTATTGCGACTGCTACCACCCTATCACCTACTCCGAAACAGTCTAGCAGTCTAGGAAACTAGGAAATAGGCCCAATGGACACCAGAAATCAATGCGAGCATGCAATCTCAAGCTTGATGTGTCTGAACATGCTTAAGGATGCAGGTCAATCCATCAATAATTGTGTAAAAATTGGTAAAAATTATTGGACAGGAAAGCCACATCCTGTGAGGTAATAACAATAATCAGGGTTTCCATTAAGAATTTCAGCAGTGGGAGAAAGATGAAACATTACAGGAGAATAATTTGAAAGAGAATCCACATCTGAATAAAAAATTGTCATACACATGTAGGCTTCCAAACATTAGTCCAAGAATTCAGAGTAGTAAACAGAGAATTCTCCGATCTCCGATGCCTAATGAACCCTCTGAATAATAGCAATAAATCGTGAACAGGGCTGCCTAATAACCACCTCCCCCCAATTTAGCAAAAAAAAATTGTATTATTCTGAAACAAACCTATTGTTTAGAAACAATAATTATAGTTCTGAATTTTCATAATGCACCAGTCAATAATTGGAATTTGGAACTTTGATGTCCCCTCGGAAAACCCCGAGCATTACACTATCAATCGTGCTGGGGGAGTGGGGAATTTGACCATTACCTGGGTAGGGTGGAGAATTTGAACTGGAAATGTCATGTTTGACATCTTTGGATGATCAAGGTCTGACAACATGGTTCAATCTATAGATGTGATCTTTGTCATAGTGAGATCTAAGGGAAACTCTGAGCCTTTTGGTTACTGATGATATCTTCAGGGCGATCACAACAGCAACTGATGGGTATGGTCCTTATAGACCTCAGCAAGGCCTTCAACAGTATTTGCCACAGTACACTTCTTCTCAAACTATGCAGCCTAGCAACATCAAGTCAGGCTCTTAAATGGTTCGAGAGTTACCTCAAGGACCGCAAGCAGTCTACTCGATTAGGCACCTCTCTATCTGAAGAGCTTACGATAACACATGGCATGCCTCAAGGCTCTTAGGTCCAGGAAAATGCTTTTGAACAAAAAAAAAAGAAACCCAGGTTTAAATTTAACCCTGGATTAGCGCTGATCGGCCTTTGAACAACTGGGCCCTGAAGACCTCCATAAGATATGGGTCTACCCCTGAAGAATTTTGTGGAAAGGTAATTTGTTCCCTGTTCACCCGTGAAGATTTTGATGCAAATTAAAGCTTCACCTCCAAGGAATTTCATATTTTTTTCCATACCCCTAAAGAAATCCTCCATTTTTATAATCCACCCCTGAAGAATTCCATTGGTCCTCAACCGACGGGGGAGGGGATGCGGGTGTTAAATGCAATAGCCCAACAAAAATGAATGCCTGCAGGTATTAAAAACAGGAAGTCCAAACTGTTAAGAACAGCTCATGAATATTGTACTTCCTTGGTTACCTCAGATTTGCAATTCATTGTTTTAAGAAACGAGTTTTTATACATTAAAAATTAAAATTCGTGTTGTAGAGTTCACCTGCTAATTCCTGCGATACAATGAACAAACACCTTCCCTCGCTCCCTTCGCACTTTATCTACAAAGCAACAGAAGATAAAATACTTTAAAATTAGAGATTTCTAAAAACATAGACATATGAAAATAATACGCTAAAAATTCATAATAGTCGCAATTACATGTACGCTTACCGATTTTAGCCAGTGTTTAACGGTAAAAGCGGCTAATGCACAGCTGTCTGCATGCTATTAAAATCGCTCACCTATTTTGTCGGCCACTAGATCAAAGTGTATTCCTATGTTGCAGCTCGGAGTGTCCTCCAATCTTATTCTTGTGGCTTTAATAGATTCGTAGTTTATATCTGGAGCCTCGACCGAAGCTTTCCGGATAACAAAATTAAAAAAAGAAAGAAACCATCACTGAGGAGTTTAATGCCGAATTAAGCTCAAGTTCCCCTCGAGTTTAATAGGCACAAAACAAAAATCAGGAGTCCTGATATGGGACATCCCACGAAAATCAACCTCAAAACAAATGACACGATTTGGTGCCGAATAAACTCGTTTAAGAAAAGAAAAAGTAATGACAAGCTTACCATTAATGACGCAAGTGATTCCCTTTGTTGTGAGAACATCTTCCATCTTCGCTGCTGCCAGTCCTCCTAGGAAGAGAAATTCAGTGATTTCGGCCATTTTTCCGAGAGGACTGCAGTGCTTGATCATGGCTTCGCAATTCCTTTCACTTTTTTAACAAGCAGACGAGATCTTGCCAAAGCAATTTTTATACTACTACTTTGAAAAACCCCGACGTTGTTGATGAAAGCGACAGTGGACTGCGTGGGAGGCTGGAGTATTTCTGCTGGCTTCCCTAACCGGCCAATATTTGTCAGGACTTCAGGGCGGAAAAACGTAATGAGCATGCGTGGACTTTTTAGTCCAGATCCCCTGGCCGGGTTTGAAAAAATGGCGGGATTTCAAATATTTTCTTGCCTAAAAATAAAATGTTTCCACCCATAACCTGGAAAGAACAGGCAATTTGTCTTCAAAAGTTGCAAGCTGTGGTTATAACCTTGTGGTTACTTAATTTTCTCGAAGAATACCTCATAGTAAAACGGACTTTAACGACATTAATTTCCTTGCGTTGTACTGGAAATGTGCATGCGTAAGTCCCATTTTTTTCAAGATGCATTCACAAAATGTGTTCATATAAGGAAGTTTCTGGATATATAAGGTCCGGAGCTCTACTGTGGACACAACAACAATATATCTTTGGACAGTGATTTGCCCAAAAAAATTAACGCTTGCCCACAATGTGTTTGAAGTCACTGAACTTTGTCGCACTCGAGCGAATATTTTAAAACCCTCGCTCGATCGGACACTCGTAGTTTCGCAGATCACTAAAATATAAACAAAATCCTCAATGTAGAAGTTATTGCGTTGATATGTGAGCAGAAAGAAGGTCAATCTTTATCTGGTAAAATATTCCCAAAAATCGGTTTCAAAGCAACTATAGTTTTTTAAACTTGCTCGTTTCGCGCAGATATATAAATTTTGCTTTGTGTTGTCAAGTTGAACACGCATAACATCTGTCAAAACCCTACAAGTAAGAAGGATTTCCTTCAAACAAAATTAAAGTTACATTATTTCAAAAACTTGTTGCTGACAATGAAGAAATGAATTTTCTGTACGAAAACAACCCACCTAAAGATCGACAAAGCAAAAGATCAGTTGCAACTTGGCAGCCAAGCCATGATTCACATTTAGCTATTATCAATGCAAGGGTCTTCGTTTAAGCAAATTAAACTCAGCCAATCATTAGAAAATACAGAAGATTGCACATAAGGGTTTGTTTTGCTCGCCTCAGTCAAATCAAGCTGCAGCAATTGTTTACGGGAAAAGAGTCAATTGTTTTGAAGTTACTGCTGGCAGTTGTCGTTCTCTACTTCACAGCGAGTGAAAAGGACAATTTGCGTACAGAAAGTTATTCTTATAAAGAACAGAAACTTTCGCAGTGCACTGGAAAACAAAACTATGTAATGAAAATGAAAAAACTCCAACTATTATTACTTGAGCAACAGAAAAATGATCTTGAGTAAGCTTGCTGGCCTTCTATTTTCGAGAAAGTTTAATAAGAGCACAAGTTTGTTCACTCTGATGTGTGATAACAGCAATATGGTTCTTTGACTGAAGACAAAGATAAAGCTGGTTCTGCAAAGGTAATAAATCTGGGCATGTAAAAAAGTAACCGTAACTACTAATAACAGAATACAAGCGGGTTTTAATTCAACCCGGCGAAATCAACTCATAAATTAATCGGATGCACAATCAGAAAAATACTCGCCTCTTAAGAAATGTTCAAAACCTTTTATTCCACCTCAGACTGACGGAATGATCCGTTTTTCCTTTAACATTGGTTGTTCCGAATCCAAAGTAATTTTAAAGCGACGTAAAAAAAGTAAACATGTCAAATAAAAATGCTTTACAGGGAACAAACGTTCGCACCTCGTGCATTTCACTCAGAACTCCAGCAACAAACAAACACAGTCAACAGACAGAAAAGCCCGCCTTGAGCCTGCAATAAGGGATGCGCAGAAGTTTGCGCAGAACGTTTTTCCGCCCTGAATGTCAGGACATGCAATCAGACCGTGAGAGTCTGGGCTCTGGAGAAGGTCTGGCGGGGGGTTCGCGGGTGGGGGGGGGGTGGGGGGCACTCAAGGAAAGTTTGGGTCAGGGCGGATAACATTTATCCGCCCTGGTTTGGGTAGATGTGTGCCGCCGACGCTTTTAACTCTGCCGGATACGGCACCGATCTCCCGCTCTCCTAGTCTGCTACACAGCCGTTTTTAGAGTCGTCACGCAACGCTCCTCCCCTAAAAACGGCTGTGTAGCAGACTACCGCTCTCCCGTACGGGTCCGTGACCACATCTCCCGGATAAAATCATCTTTCGAGCTTTCCTGTGCCTTTATAGTTTGGGATTTAGCTTATTTTTAGCTCAAAACTTGAATTTTTCTTATTCGCAGTACGGTTTCTGGGGCATTTTTGCACGTATTCAGTTACTGGCAAAGATTATTTCTGGTATGAAAACGATGATAGCGGATTTTGATAGAATGTATTTCATGTAAATTCAATTTTTGAAGCAAGGACCAGCTTACAAAAAAGAAGGATCGGATCCTAAGACTTCATATAATGTCCAAAGTCACTCCCATTGGGGGCAGGGCAGGGTCAATTTGTCGAAGAGAGGGGCGGGGGTCCTTTGAAATTACGAAGAGGTGCGGGGAGGGGGGTTAAAAAAAAAGAGAGTCTGTAGATTTTAGATGTCGGGTGGTTGGCATCTCTATGACCCTGTGTAAAACAAAACTTGTTCATTTCGCTATTCTCACTGCATACATAAT